GAGGTGGCAAGCACCCGGTCCAGATTAGCGCGCACCACATATCCAGGGTCGCCAAAATGACGCTCGAGCTCGCTGAGGGCTTCATGGTAAAGCTATCATTGCAGAGCAGACCTCTATCCGCTGCACAAGCCTCCCTAGGCAGACACGACAGCAAATGGGTCAACTTTTTTGCATCGCTCAGACTTTGATGATAGTGCACCGGTGCCCTGAACATCGAGCTCCACCGAGGCCACTCCAGCGGCGCGTCGTTGACGTCCTCGAGCTTGAGCTTTGGCAGCGCAGTGTCGAGCCCATGAGCTAGGCTCGCGAGGCCACAGCCTCCGAGCGGCTGGAGAGTCGCTCTATCCAGCTCCCTGTGCGCTCCTGCATGTTTGTGACTGGCAAAGCTGATGCAGCCAATCGTAGCTGCAATGACAGATGTCGTGGCGCGTCAGCAGGGCAGAGCGTCACGGTTGTCACGCCTAGGGAGCAGCTTCTCCCTGAAGGTGCTGGAGCTTCCTCCTCTTCTGCCAGCCGCAGCTCGAGCTGGTTTCGCTCCTACTCGTCTGCGGCGAGCTGCACCAGGTCAGCCACTTGTCACCAGGAACGCTGAGCTTTTCACTACCGTTGCTCCCGGGTACGCTGGGCTCTAGCTCCGCTTGCTCCCGGGCGCGGACCCCCATTGTCTAAGTCTCCTCAATCTTGGGCCTCGAGAGTTCGACCTTCCAGCGCGCCTGGCTCTCTCTGGAGGCACGGGGCTGTCGATACTCCAGGTGCCGAGCTCACTTTCACTACGGTGTACCGACTCCCTCCATCACTGCACCGGAGCTAGCTACCGTCCAGTGCTAAGTTCAAGGTTTACCGGCTCATATAGGCCTTTACTGGTCCATTACACGGTAGGAACCGAAGGACCACATATTAAGTACACACCGCCGAAAAGAATTAAAACTTGATGTTAACTATTTTAGATATCTTTCTGCCAAAGAGCATGATAAGAGCGTTAAACTGAGACGAACTAAACGAAAAACGTGGACGACGATATGATGACGGATCGAGAATGACGACAGCAGCCCGAACGGGTAGCTCTGCGCTGCTCTAGCTCTAACTGTTCCCCATCAATTTCTCTGAAGCACTGGCGCGGCGTGCCCTTCGACAGGGGAAGGCCGCCACCAAGGCACACCTGGAAGACAAGAGCGGCAAAGATACAGGGCTTCGACGGATGTGACGGAAACATATAAAAAAGGCATTTAACACTAGCTAGGAAGCGATGAACCAGTCATTATAAGATGATGGGTCAGTCTCAAGCGACAGCCGAAACGATACAGAAATAGGGACGGAGTATGTTGTTAAAGGGTAAAATGCACGTCATTTCGTCGGTGGCAACGTGGCTCAAAAAGACTGTGAAACTTATCTGCTGAGGTATTCATGTACCAACGGCTCAGGAAAATTGCATGCATGTCCTTCGCTCAGGATTTGCCTTTTGGGCCCAATGCATGAGGGGACAAGCCAGCATTGGACGGAAGCTTGGACACCCTGAAAAACCCTTAAAGTGACGCCCCTGCTGCGTCATACATCACCTTCCCTGGAGCTTGGCGGTCGCATGCAGCTCAAATAATCAAAATGCCCGAGGTACAAGAGGCTTTCCGCCAAATGGAACGCTAAAATAGTTCAACTGCAAAAAGATTAAAAAAGGTCCCGTCGGAGGATAGATTTCGACAACCCAATGACATAGCGGCGCGAGACTAACATATCCTGGTGGAGGAGCGAACGGACAACCGCACGGATGGAACTTTGAAATGATGATTACAGGTGATCTTGCATTGCAGTGGCAAACCAGGGATGCACGCGTTTGGGAGCGGGTTGGGTTTTTATATTACTTTTTTGTCAGATCTCTCTCCAGCCAGAGCAGATGAAGACATGATATGAGTATGAATACATGCCATCGCTGGAGTGAATATTGAGTGTACTTGATAAGCGTCACAGACACAAACCAATTAAAAAAAAGGGCGTGACAATACATATAGGTTCACACAACCGAAATGCCGCAGATTATTTCCTTCCTCTAATATTCTGTACAGACCGCCTCAAGTGTAGCCCGGTGATAGGGGCGAAAGCCAGGCCGCTAAACGTTAGCATTTGTCGCTAAATATATGACTTCACTATCTTAGCTCTCTGCACACCCGATATAATGAATGGAAAATTTTCCAACTGTTATCGCCTAGATTGTTCTACGCCACACAAGGTATTTTAACGCTTTAGCACTATACTTTCATGCCATTCAGCTTCTCCTCATTCATTAAGATGTCGCCAGCATCTTTTCAAAGCGTATTCAGCTGGAAAGGCAAGACCAGCTAATGATGTCACTGCCGGGAGAGCGCTCAAGTTCATCAGACTAAATGCAGATTGGCTCTAAACCGATGCGTCAGGCGGCAGCTGGCGACGAATGTAAGAAATTCACAGGTTTCAACAACCGCATTCACGTAGTGATCGCTCACCAGCCTCGACTATTCTACACAATGATAGATAGATAGATAGACAGATATATATATATATATATATATATATATATATATATATATATATATCGCTCACCAGTCTCGACTATTCTACACAATGATATATATATATATATATATATATATATATATATATATTTCTATATAATTGCTACAAATGACACTGATTGGTTGACACTGAGGAACAAGGTGTCCGTGAGGCTGGTCTCGGGACATTCTTAAGGAACCTTGTTGCCAAATTTAGCTTGACGCAACTGTGCGTGCGGGTCATAGCAAAAAGTAGCATGCACTTGAAATGCCGAATATGAAGAGAAAGGAAACCGCCGCTGGAGCAATACTAACCATTTACTTGGATGGTCTCAACGCTAACACGTCGGTTTCGCTACCATTTATCGTACTTCACGTTTGGTACTAATTGCCCCTCCGACCACTAAGGCTGTCTTGAAAAAGACGAATATCGTCCCCACATTTGATGCACGTGAATTTTGCATTTTGTGTAACTTAAGTTAGATGACACTCAAACATCAAGTTGCATCCAGAAAAGCGCTAGCACAAATTATGCACAACACTTGTTCAGTTATATATACCACCATACATTTCATACACCAAGCCGCGGCACTCCCTGCTAGGAAGTAATAAAAATACACTTCAGCATCCCTCTTGGTGGTCTGGAATCGTCGTAATTAGTGGTCTTGAAATTCTGAAGAGATTAGATAAAGAAGTCAGTACTAGGAATGAGGACTCACACCCCATCTATATCAACGCCAAGTAAGTTCATACGTTAAATGTGAGGTTTGTTATTAAAAAACGATGTGATCTTACAGCCAACGGAGACGAATATTGTTCTGACCATAAGGACATTTCCCTGTCAACTTCTTGCAAGAGCTGTTCCCAGCTTTCCTGAGGTTAGACCCGCTAAGCTGACGAGGCTGCTGCGGGGCGTGCCAGGGCAGCCAGGGGCTTTGTCACGTGGGTGTATGTTGATTTATATGCGGAGCAATAGATTCAAGTATTTGAACTCAGTGCTTGAGCTAAGCTAACTCAATGCATCAAGGCTATTCATGAGTATAGAGTGAGCAGTTGTCTAGTTGTCTTAGTCTTAGAGAAGCCGTCTTAGTAGTCTTAGACCAAGTAGTTGTTCCGGTGTTTTACGCGCTGTTAGATGCGCGACATTACTGGGTCATATGAACCACTCAGGGAAGAGCACTCAGTGAATTAAAATCCGACATCAGTAGGAATGGCGTGTCTGCCACTGCGGCAGCAAAGTAACGCTGGCGGCAGCGAACGACTCAGAGTACCCGCTAACACCCAGATATCAGCTGAAATCGTTCTCAGCTCCCGTACTCGCAGCGGTTCCTCAGACCAAACCATTCATGATTCCAACGACGGTCGAATAAACAATCATGTGTGATTCCCACCGTGGACTGTACCACATTAGCCCTGGAGCCCAGTGCAGCCGCCCTAAAGTCCACTGTAGACGCCCTGGAGCCCACTGTCATCGCCCTGGAGCCCACTGTCATCGCCCTGCAGCCTAGTGAAGCCGCCTGGAGTCCACTTCAGTCGCCCTGGAGCCGCTGTAGCCGGCCTGGTGACGTTGGCCGAGCAGAGGCTGGTCGCGCGTCAATACCGGCGCGCCTCGGGCGTCTCGCCCGTGCCGTCATCGCCGTCGGAGTACACCGGACAACAATTACGCCCGTGCGAAAGCAGCGCTCCCAGCTTCCGTCGCTGGTTTGCGGGGCTCGCGGGCGAGCGCCCGCCTCGGATCAACACTCGGCGCAGCTGACGAAGTGCGGCTCATTCCGTCCGCCGATGTCAAGGGCCTCTCGACCGGCAAGCAGATGCGTCGGCACCGATCTTTGATGGTATGTTGAGCCGCCCACTTCCAAAGATGTCCCGCCGGGAAGGAATAGGTCACGGCGGGGGCGTACGCCCAACTTGCCGAACGCGCTAATGGAAAAACAGCAGAGTTGACAGGGCGTAAACAAGAAAAAAAGTAATGTGATGCTCGGTGGAAACATCTGAACGTGGGACTGACAGCACGACGGCGGGAGACGCCCACAATCCAAGACGTTTTCAGACGCGCAACACCAACCCCACTACGCAACCGTAAACGTCTCCATGGGAACGTTTCTGCGTGAGCCAACGCAACGCATCAGAAAGACTCGTGGCACAAGGCGCACCACCGGCTCGTTCACCCGGTGTGCGGTATCAATGCCGGTTTGTGCAGTCACGAGGTCGTGCACGGGCGGCGCTCGACCTCGCCGAACGCGACCGAGGGCACACGACGCCTTCGTGGCCCACGCGGCTCCGGGTCGTTCGTTGGCTCGTCACCCTGCCGTCCGGGACGCAGCTCGGTCCCTGTTCGCCGAAGCGGGGCGTGCCTGCGGCCGCAATCAGAGCATCGCGGGGCGGCCGGGTCCGGGCGCCGCTACAAAAGCGGACTGGGCGGCTGGGGGTGGCCAGAGCTCCGGTGACGGGCCGCCTGTCACGTCCACCACGCCCGCTATGGTGCTGTTGGTGAGTCAGGGGCGACAGCGCTGGTGCACGGGCGCGGTGGCGACGGCCGCGGCACCGTCCCGCCGGTGCTCTGTAGTGGGAAGGGGAGGTTCTCGGTAGGGTTACATGATTGCACAGTATGAAGCAAAAATGCACCAAAAGTGTGGACAAAAAAAGTCAGCGGAGTGGAATTCAGTGACCACAATCTAATAGCCTGTCCGACGGCATACCTTGTGGCAGGACATCACCACCGCATGCGCCTTCCAATAAGACCTGCCATAACACATCTTGTCGCAAAAAGTAGGTGTCGGCCGCAAAGCAAGCGTCGTGACACGTGACTTCCTCCCAACAGACGTTCCTGTCGGTGGTCGGCACTGCCCTAGCGGCACCCGCCACCAACCCCCAGTACGTCGTAGCACACGGCACCGGCCCCAACAGTCTGAGCTCGGGCCCGCTGCAGCCGGCCGCGGCCCTGTTCAGGGGGCCCGACCCGGCGCTGGTGGCCGCTGCACTGGCCGTCGTTAACGATGCCAGGGCACACCAGGCCCTGCTGCACTCATCGCTGCAAGCGACCGCTGGCGCGAAGCGGGCCCACGCGGCGACGGCCGGCGGCGGTTCGGCACACGGCGGCACAGCTGAGACGCAACTGACCGCCAGCAGCGCCACTCCTTCCAGCGAAATTCCGTTGGCGGCCGCTTCTCCTCCCACGGGAGGCGCCTCGGCTGGTCCCACGGCCGTCCCCGCGCAATGGCAGGCCAGTACGACCACCGTCGCACCGACCCCGCACAGCGTCCCCAGTGGCCAGCCCTCCGGGCATCACCCGGGCGCCCCGACACCCTCCTCCGGGCATCACCCAGGCGCCCCGACACCCTCCTCCGGACGTCACCCGGGCGCCCCGACACCCTCCTCTGGGCATCAGCCAGGTGCCCCGACACCCTCTTCTGGGCATCACCCAGGTGCCCCGACACCCTCCTCCGGACATCATCCGGGCGCCCCGACACCCTCCTCCGGACATCATCCGGGCGCCCCGACACCCTCCTCCGGACGTCATCCGGGCGCCCCGATACCCTCCGGGCATCACCCAGGCGCCCCGACACCCTCCTCCGGACATCATCCGGGCGCCTCGACACCCTCCTCCGGACATCATCCGGGCGCCCCGACACCCTCCTCCGGACATCATCCGGGCGCCCCGACACCCTCCTCCGGGCATCACCTCATAACCCCGATACCCTCCGGGCATCACCCGGGCGCTCCGACACCATCCGGACATCACCCGGTTGCTCCGACACCCCCATCCGGACATCACCTGGGCGCCTCGACACCCTCCTCCGGACATCACCCGGGAGCCCCGACACCCTCCGGGTATCACCCAAGCGCCCCAGCTCCCCTCACGCCGGAGCCGGTCACCGAGGCCACCCCGGTACGGGACACTCCAGAGGTGGCGGCGGAAAAGGCCAAGTTCGAGGCGCTGTACGCGGCCGCCGCCACGGCCACGCCGCCGCCGGCGCACGACACGGCGGCCGTGCAGGCCGACCTGCGCGCCCACCAGCGCGCCCTGAGCGCGCTCGCGCCGCGCCCCGTCGGCGACACGTTCGAGGTCAAGCTGATCAAGGCCGGCCTGCTGCTGGACGGGGAGGTGGCGCCGGTGCTGACCGCCGCCCAGCGGAGCGTGCAGGGCCTCGAGCCACTGCCGGGGCCCGAGCTGCCCGGCGCCGGACACCCAGCGACCGGACACGCGGGAGCTGGACAGCCGGCCGGCCCGCAGTAAGCGGCAGAACCTGGAGGTTGGTAGCACGGCGCCGGACGGGGATACCCCGTGGGCACCTGTCGTGAGAAATCATCAGGTAGATATAGTGAAGACATCCAATAATCGCTGCACGATCGAGGTTATTACACAGAATGCATTGAAAGCGATCTGACGTTCTTTGATGTGCGCGCACTGTTTCGTGTACCGTATCCAGCTGTACACGGGAAGTACGACGTCCTGAAATGCTGAGTGACATTATAAATGCGTGCAGAGCGTAACGAGATCGTTACTTACCGATCAAATGCTCACTTGGTATTACTCTCTCTAACCCTCGGTGATGTGCCGGGTGATTTGATGACTAAGTGAATAAGGCCATACGGTCTTGTAGAAATCGCGACGCATCGGAGAGCCCATTGACAAACATAATGTACGCCACAAGTGATTCATTTATGTGGGTGGTGTGTAGTGAACGTTGCATATAGACACCTCCGGTCACCTGTGTTGGTGATGAGTTCTCATTCCATTTGATGTGTTCGGGATCATGAAATAAACAGTGTGTAGTCATACCAGCATGGTCGCTTCAATCTACCTTTTTGATGCACACGTTTTATAGGCGCGCCAGCTGTCAGCGCGCGCCTATTGACCTGGGTAGCCTGGGTAACGGGCTCTGGCTTCGGCCTACTACGAGGCGTCATTGACGCGGCATCGCCGCCAGCGCACTCCATCGTTGTCTTTCCCCGTTAGTGAAGGAAGACTACGCCACACCAGTCCGTTGTTCCTGTCACTGGAGCTTTACGGCGCGCACTCAGCCGCTGAAGCTACACGTCGCCTACCTCTCATCCTAGTAGGAGAAGCGTGCACCGCGGGCAATCGAACCCCTGGTCTCCCGTACCCGCAGTAAAACCATGACGCTATCGGTCTTCCCACACCAGAACTTCAGCAGCAATGCGCAGTTCACCACAGTTGCTTGGAGCCAGGCATCCTCTTGCTTCCCTAGATATCTTGCCGGGAGCCGGATCCTGGCTCATAGTGCCGTAATTAAGAGCAAATCAGCAGCCAGTTTGGTATCACGCCAAAGGCTCACTGCATTGTGCTGAGGAGAGGAGCAGTGTGAGCCAGCAACCAGCTTGCCACTAAGCCCAGAGATCTATGAACTGTGTTGAGGAGAGGAGCAGTGTGAACCAGCATCCAGCTTGGAAAGGAGCGGTGTGAACCAGGATCCAGCTTGGAAAAAAACAGTGTGAACCAGCATCCAGCTTGGAAAGAAACAGTGTGAACCAGCATCCAGTTTGCCGCTAAACCCAGAGGTCTAACAAGAACCCAGATAGGTTCTTGTTGGAGCCTGGAATATGCAGACGGATCCAACAAGAAACAAGATCCGGCCTGGATTTATGACGGTGAACCAGCAAGAACCCAAATTCAGCCTGGAATGTGGTCGGATACCAAGTAAGACCCAGGGTCCGGTCTGGCATTATTCCAAGGATCTCGCAAGAGCCAATATCCGGAATAGAGTGATATCATGATGACTAATAAGAACCAGGATTCTACCTGCAGTTCATGTCAGCCACCAGTGTTCATCCACACTTCCCACTTCAACAGAATTTCCCATGAGGCGTCTATGACAGAATACGCCTAATGAAACTTTCTACTTTCTAGTAATTCTGGCAAGTATTGGTGCCAGGGAGGGGGCTGTACACCGCCCCACTGAACTTTTCTGGAAATTTGCATTGGTGCTAGAGACGTTAACTGGAATAAATTAGTCAAAAAGCAATAAGATAATGGGTAGAATAAATATCCTTCTCAGCAGGGGGGGGGGGAGGGGGGTCATTTTCTAAAACCGGTTGAGGTGGTAAGACGACAGGGTTGACCTAACCTGTGCCCAAAACCTGATTTCTCCACGTATTTCGACAACTTTATTTATGTCTCCAATGCCAAAAGTTTGCAACTTAAAAGTATATCTTGTCGATTCCATTTTGTTTTGCTGCGAAGGAATCGCTCTCCATTGCAGGGCGGTGCGCACCTACGCATTCGTGAAAAGTCTTGAAAGGGTTATAATTCACAGCGAAGAAGTATCTCAGGGATTCGAGCTCTGGTGATCTAAATGAGTAAATGTCGTTAATTACTAATCGAAGGTAGCCCAAGGACCAAAAGACAGTGTCATGCAAAATGGCTTGGCCTGATAAGCACGGGCGAGAACCTTTGGAGACTTTTTGAGTGTACTGCTACCGTGCATTCATACATCAAAGCAAAACCGACGCCTCCTTGCTTGCTAAAACTGGTGCCTAATTTTAACCTGAAACCAAAAGTTGCAACCACGACGCACTTGTCTGAGAACTGCGGTAAAACACTGCAATAACAATGATAAAAAGATACACCGCAACGTGTCCAAAACCTGATAGCATGCCAGCCAGCCACGTGTCTGCCTGCAGCGGTTAGTGTAGCCAACAACAGCCACGGTGACAATTACGATGGAAAGTCACCATGTCACATATTTTTGATTTCATAGATTCAGTTTGCTGACTTATTCTATCGAATGACGGTGTCCTGATTATGTCAGGTTGTTGTACTAGCAATGACGCCGCCAACCAAGCGGTCTGAGCTATATGAAACATTTCCGCCCAGTCGACTGGCCAAATAGTACCAGTGAATCCGTGTCGTGCTATGCAGCCGTATACCACGGTAAGCCGCGGTGAATGTTCCCCTGCTTGTCGAGGATACACGACGCTTTAGCCAAGAATGCACCTGCGTGATAAGACGCCTAGATCCGACGGCTTCTGCCACTCTCTTCATAACGAAGTGTATTTGCAACTGCTGTGCCAACGGGACACCGATCTGGCAATTTACTCATTGTTTCAAATATGAATTCCTCGAGGTGTGTGCAGGATCTAGACTTACCATGCATGTTCATGGGTCACTTCTTGTAGTGCGAATTTCACTTAAGTCCAGTTCCGTCATGGCGACCAAAATTGTTCCAGACGCGATTGTAACTGGATCTGCTACGGCAATATTGGTGTTGTTCGCATAGTGCATGCATGCATATGACATCAGTCATAAAGCTAACTGAGAAATACATCACTTACTAGAATTTCGGCTGGCGAATAGCACCACTTTACAACACTTCAGGCTTCAGGTGAACTCGTCCATCATTTATAAATACGCATTACGACTCTTCCAAGTACCTGTAAACTTCTCATGGGATTACACTCACCTAAAGCCGCTAAAATATTTACTTTAGGATTAATTTTGACCCCCCCCCCCCCGGAGCAATCCAGTTGCCAAAAATTGACCCACGCCGCACCGGGGCACTGTTAAATAACACAACAGGCACGTCCCGCCGAAGCTTTTGCGTCAATTCCAAGATTTTTTCAGAACTGTTGTAAATATTCTGATTAAAATGATACAGGTGCACTGACTGGGCGCTGTCTGGATAATTCTTACAACGTCCGCTGAAAGCGTAACCCCGATTTCTTTTTCTGAGGTGAATAAGCTCACTGCAACTTGAAATGTTAATATCATATGATACCACTCACAGCTTGTACCTTTCATCTTAAAATATACTGCTAATACATTTCCGCAGTGCTCATGTCCTGCATTCAGGTTTTGACGTGTGTCGTTTCCAGGACATGATTTTTGTAAAGACAAAATGTTCGACATTAGGTAGAACTTTCCTGTTCTTCAAGATGAAAACAGATGCTGGGCCCAAATAATGCATTAAGTTCGGAAATAATGCTATTTGACAATCTACAGCTTAACATAACGTCACAGAAAGTCATCCTAGGCCACTGAATTTTTTTGATCTAACCAGTGCGCTAAAGAGTCCTTTGTAACCTAGAATGGTCATTGTCATTCTAAGTGGCAATGCGTACGTCGAACCACGAAAATAATCTTCTTTTCAAATACATCCAACATTTATCGCAACTCTTCCAGCCCTCGCTCCCACCCCAGGTTTGGGGCCACCATGGGGACAGCCGGGAGTAGGGAGACTCAGCCCTTTCTCAACCTAGAAGTGACACTAGATTAGGAAGTGACGCGAGAAGCCGAGTGGGTGTGTGACCTAACTTGATGTTTCATGACACATCGTGATATTGATTGCCTTTTCCTGACATAAACAGTTGACTAGACACGACACTAGTTGACTAGACACGAATGCCCTGCAAACTTTGCGAACTTTGTTTTGCGATCATTTGCAAAGTTGACCTGGCTTGAGACTAGCTGACCTTTGGATTAACCTGAAATGGTGTTAAGTTATCTCTAGTGTGCCTGCTTGTCTGACCATTTCCGTCGTAAATACAAACTGGTCATCTTAAATGTTCATAAGAGAGAAGAAATGGAGAATGTTAGAACTGCACAGGCGAATTGTGTCGTCGCAGTGTCATGAAAAACGCTATGATTTTACCCGTGGTGAAAGTAAAAAACAGTTTTGATGAACTTTTTACAGCCTTAAAACATGTGATTTGACATTTGAAATCGATT